TTCATGGCTGACTTGCTGTTCTTCCATACTGCCGGAACTATTGGAATAAACGCTCATATATGATTCAACCCTGTCTCTGCTTAATTGGTTCAACTATTCACAGGCAGCCCAGACCTATTTGTTGTCAGGTTTCAGATACAGATCCCCCTTGGCCTCCTTGGGTGGGATGAGGGAAGTATGGGGGAGGGATGGGGAGATAAAGGGAGAGGTATTCTTTCCTCAAAGACCCTCACCTTTGACCCTACACCCCACTCCAGGGAGTCTACCTAAGGAAATAATCAGGAACCCATGAAAAGCTTTAGCTATAAGAATGATCATTACAGCATTGCTCATGATATTTAAAGTAATTCATGTGTTAAGTGTTAAATAAATTCTGACAACTAAATTCTGAGGTTTTTAAAGTAGATTTGTTAAAGGCTTTTAACATATCAAGTTAGGATCCATTACCCTAATGAAGCCATTTTCTGATGTCAAAGTCATTTTCAAGGAGTTCTTCTCATAAGTGTTCATCAAGAATACTTATTTTTCTAAATTTCACATGATTAATCCATTTTTTCTACAATTAAAACATCAAAAAAAAAAGACAGTGAAATGCCTTTCACAATCCAAAGAAAAACCCAAAAATAATACTCACCGACATTTGGAGCTGGACAGGACTTTAGAGATAATTTAGTCCAATATCTCTCATTGTACAGAGAATAATGCTGAGTCCCAGCAAAAGGAAGTGACTTATTTGAGATTGGGTCAGGACCAGAATCTTGTATCTTCCACTTCCCCCAACCCAGATCCTTTCCATCCAGGAAGAGATTTAGATTAGATTCTTTCAATTGACGTAATCTGATTTAAATCGACACTCAAATAGAGTTGTTCAATTTAGCAAATATGAATACAGAATATCCATTAAAATTCAAATATCAGATAAACAACAAAAATTTTTTAGTATGAGTATGTTCTATGCATATGTGTGTGCAGAAAATACGTACTAAAATGTATTTTTTAATATATTTATAACACATATATTAGTATATAAGTATATATATCTAGTATATATGTAAACTAATAATTGTTTAGTTAATGTTTGAATTTTACTGGACATATATTTTTAAACACGGTGTACTTTTATTTGCTAAATCTGTACTTTTATTTACATTCAAAAAGAGATAGGAGTGAAAGGGTGTTAGCATAAGAAAGGATGATCCATTTCAATTTCCTGATTTTTACAGATGAGAAACTGATAAGCAGAGAGAAGCTGTGACTTGCTCAAAGTTCCATAGCTGTTGGGTTACCAAGTTGAGACTAGAACTCTGAGTGGATGACTTCTAGAGCCCCTTCTAACACATCATGGTATATGACCTAAAAAAAAAAAATTCAACCCATGAATCTTTGAAGAACAAAATTCTAAGGAGAGGGTCTCATGTTCAGTCAATGCCCCTCCCCACCTTTCTTAGGCTACAGCATCACAGTGAGGGCTTTCCATGTTGCCAAAACAACTTAGGCAACAGAGCCTGCTTTCAAGATATTTTAAAACAGAGGGTCTATGACTCCAGCGTACATCAGAATCATGGAGAGTGTTTCACAGATTGCTGGGTCCCACCTCCAGTGTTTCTGGTGCTGGAGGTCTGGGGTAAGGCCCCAGACTTTGCATTTCCACCGGGTTTCCAGGTGATGCTGACGCTGCTGGTCCAGGAACCACACTGCAGAACTAGAAACTTAGTTGATGCAGTCATGGCTATTCTGCATGAGTTCCCTGATTAAACAAGAAAAATAAATCCTTGTTTTGAGTAGTATTGTATGTCAGTCATATAAAATCTTATTCTCTATGTTATTAAAGACATTGTTTTTAGGGGCAAAATTAGTCTAAATAAGTTTGTTGAGCTGAGACCAGTGAGATTGGACTATAGCAATGAATTCCATGATTATGAGACAAATTTAGCCAGGAAGAAAAAGGGAATAAAGAACAATAATTAGTTTCAGAAATAAGGAACCATGTGAACAATTTGAAAATACACTGCAGTCAGAATGTTCTGTGATTATTTCATACCTTTTATTCCCCCAGCATTCCCAACTTAGCCGTCCAATTACGTGGCTAATTGCAGATGAATGAGACAGTTTGTTGAGATTATTAAGGCCAAGACGCAAAGTTTGAAGGCCTTTGTCTGATCACTTTTGTGGGAACTCAGTGCCCTATTTCCACTTGTGAACACTGGAGGCTCCAACACAGTTTCCCACTCCCCATTCCTCCTCCTCGCCTGTCACTGCAGCCTGAACAATGAGCCTGAATACTGTCCCTGAACAATGAACACATTGTCACACCTCTCTTGGTGACTAAAGAAAACCACCAAACTGAAGTTTTCAAGTCTCCCCTTCTCATCTTTGTCTTTCTTCAACTGGCTCCACTGTAGCCCTGAAAGCCAAGGCTGAAAACCCAGTCCATGTGTCAACATCTCGCCTCGTGCTCCGCACGTAGCAATGCATGTATGCAATGACTGATTATTTGACCTTGCACCAAATGGCATGGCTCAAGCCCAAAATCACCAGAAAAGCCCAGCCAGTGTGTCTTAGCAGTTGAGCATCGACCTATGATAGAAGAGATCGTGGTTCAATTCCCCATCAGGGCACAGTCTTGCATTGTGGGCTCGATCCCCAGTACAGGGTGTGCAGGAGACAGCCGATCAATGACTCTCTAATCATTGATGTTTCTATCTCTCCCCCTCTCCTTTCCTCTCTCTGAAATCAATAAAGGCATATTTAAAAAACTAGTAATTAAAAAATAAAATCAAATCACCAGAAATGCTATTAAAAATATCACATTACATCTTCAAATGAAAGGGTCTAATAGATACATTCCCAAGAAAGAGCATTTTTTTTCTGGGAAACTCAGGAGGCCATGGTGTAATTCCATGGATGAAGCTTAATTGAAAAATATCCATGGCAAAAATAAATAGCAAAGGAGGAAAAGCACCACCAGCCAGCTGCTGAGGCAGAGAGAGGCCCTGCTCACAGCTTATGGAGCCCCAGGAGTCCAGTCCCAGCTTGCCTGAAGGCAGAGGCAAGTGGTCCCATGAAGTCAGGAGCTAAAAACAAAAGGAAATGGTTTCCTAACTAACTGCAGCCCAGTGGCCCTCCCAGGTAACAAGAATAGCACCTTACCTCCATGGAAAGTGCAGTAAAAGCAGATTTCAAATTTTAGCTGGATATTAAGGAAATGGAAATTAGAATGAACTCCTTCAGGGATATCAGCATGGTAGGCAATTTAATATGAGGTTCTGGTTTCCCCTCTACCTCTCAAATACCATGCCTGTGACTCCCTGCAGGGAGCCCGGTGGAGGTCAGGAATAAAGAATTGTAATATACTCCTAATACATGTGGCCATGTGAGAAGCTTCACTGGCGTGCAGGATTACAGCAGTGAAATGTGAGGCAGGCTTGTCCTCCAGACTTTCTCACTGCCATGTCTCAGAGCCTTCATGGAGCTGAGTAGATACATTTGTGGGGAGGGGTTGGTCCAAGGCATGCTATTCAGAAGGCCACTATTAATTGTTGGTTAAACTGATGTGCACGAGGGAATTGCCTTGGAGCAGAGAGGCTGAGCAACCCATCACATGGTAATGAGACATTTTTACCTCTTCCTGAGGTCAGAGGCTGAGAAAGTTCAATATCTTACTCAAGATCCAGCAGCTCTAAATGGCAGAGCTCAGACCTGAACTGAGGTCCTCCGTTTCTCCAACCCATATGCGGTCCACGCCACTTCACTGTCACGCAGCAAAGAGTATTTGGATACAGAAATATACAGGCAAGAAAAAAGAGTTGATCCCTGGGTTCACAACTAAGAAGAGGATCGGAATCAAGTCCTTTCAAGAGTAATGGGGCTGAAGACACTATGGACTGAAGACACTATGGACTGAAGACACTACGGACTGAGCAGGTAAACGAGAGAGCACAAGAAGAAAGAAATGGAGTGACCTGGAACAAAAGAGAAGGCACAGAGGGTGGGAAGACAAGGGGGAGAAATGATGCACACAAATAATAGCATATATATCTGTGCAGCAGGCATTCTTCTAAGTGCTCTAACTATATAAGGTGTTTACATATCATAATCTGTGTAGGTAGGTGGTCAACTACTATTATTTGGTTTTTATTTTCTTTTTATATTGTCATTTTACAAACGAGGAAAACAAAGCACAGAGAAGGCAATTAGCCTGCCCAAGGTCTCATTGCTTGGTCACACTGCCAATAAATAGCAGAACTTGGATTTAAACCTATAGAGCTGGGTTCCACTCTGTGCACTCAACCTCTATGCTACCCTAGCTCTCCCAATGGGTATGTCAGCTCTGAGAATACTCAAATGTAGAAGAAACACTGAGACTTATATGGTCCAGGTAAAAATGGTCCAGGTGGGGCTGACTGTCAAAGAGTAGTGGTACAGGAATTGCAGAGCGATGCCTCCCCTTACCCAAGGCTTGGAGTAAGGGTGTCTGAGTAGATGGAGTGTGGATTTGGATTGTGCTCTGCCTTGCATGAGCTGGGTCATCTTGGACAAATCACACAACATCTTTGTTTTTAAAAAAAAATATCTTTATTGATTTCAGAGTGAGGAAAGGAGAGGGAGAGAGAGAGACAGAAACATCAATGATGAGAGAGTCATTGATCAAGCCCACAACTGGGCATGTGCCCTGACCGGGAATTGAACCCTGATCGCCTGGATCCCAGGTCGACGCTCAACTGCTGAGCCACGCCCGGCCGGGCAACATCTTTAACTCTTCATCTAAATAATAGAGTCAGTAACACCTCTTAGAATTCAGTAGAATCCTTATACTATTGGGCAAGTAGGAATTAAACAATATGGCCCTTTTGCTACCCCTAAGGACATTCAATGGTATTTCACAGAAAGTGTCATCCAATTGAGTAACTGGGGATCCCTCTCTAACCCAGGAAATTATTCTTCTCCCTAAGAGAGATTTAAAACACTCAATCCATTACCGCCACATGCAGAAAAATGTTGGCCTTGGGGAGAAGATGCAGCCAGCAAAGAACACAGAGACACAAATCATCCACATTAGACAACCAGAGAGGCACTACGTGCTTTGTTTATTATGGGAGCAGACAGCCAGCTTCTTCCAGGAGCTACTGGTGGCAACAGCCTTTGTGGAAACCATTTGACAAAGGCTGAGCTTAAAGGGAAGTTTATTCACATGTTTTAGTGAGAAACTCACTATTGAGACCTCAGCCTAATGTAGGAAATAAGCATCTCAATATAGCAGTGGAGTAAACCCACATAGTGCCAGACACAGCAGAGAGCCCCAGATGGGGCCCAACAGGACATGGTCTTGGCTACACTTATCAACAGTTCCTGTGAGAAAGCACTGGGGGAGGGGGTCAGAACTCATGGTTCCCTTCATAGTTGCTTTGTATGTGGCCATAAAAAATCTACATATCAATCTCTCTATCCATAAATATATGCTCTTCAAAGAGTATGGTGTTCAGTCCTTGATGTCAAGCCTCAAGATAAAGAAACCAGTCAGGAATGTTGTGTGAGCTGTCTGGACTTGGTGAACCCTATTAGTCACAATACTGTGCCTAGAGTGGATAAAATAGGCAAGTGGAGCCCCTTAAAATTTTATATTGGTAAGATTTATTTACTTAATGTTATTATATAATGTTATTGAAATATTATATGCAAAGCTCTTATAATAGTGTTTTTTCCAGAATAGGTATTTTCTGTAAGTTAATCTCTTAGGCAGCATCATTTCCTAAGACCCTTGGCTCTGTATATGACTATATTTGGCTTGATGGAGATTACAAAGGGAAATTGGACAGACTAACCACAGCTGATCACACAGCTGCACAGTTATCAATGGCTTGCTAGGGCGATCAGGAAGGGAGAGCCCAGTAAAATTCATCAAAGAGGACATTCTGTCAATGAAGTGTGGGTGGGTGCTATGAACTGAGGGAATAGGAAGATATGCAGGTTAAGAGAATGGGATATATATCTGTTCAGGATACAGATCTTGAATTTTGGCAGAGGTAGGAGATAGAATAAAACATTAGCAGAATGTGAGCTAGATAAGAAGGGGATGTTATTGGAGAAGCAGCTAGAATGCTTGGTTGGGGTATGTAGTCAGGGGTGGCTGCGTAATACACTGAGGTGATGCCTCCAGCAAGACCAGGAATAATCTGTGCCTTAAGCGGAGCAGGAAGATGGGCTTCCTGCCAAGGTTATAATATTCAGGAAGATGACATACATTTCCTCGGGAGAAAGGAGGTCGAGTCAGAGGAGGAGAAGAGTCAAGCCTCTCAGAAGAATCTGCAGTAAGACAAGAGCAGTCTTGGAACAGATGGTGTGTCCCTGGCTACGGAAAAGCCCAGGGTGCACTGCAACTTGATGACATCACAGGAAAGGGAGGTGTGTGTGTGTGTGTGTGTGTGTGAGTGTGAGTGTGTGATGTGTGCTCCTGCTGGATGTTTTGAGAGCAGGGTGAACATTGGGTTTTTACACTGGAGTACCAGTGTCCAGCCAGGTAGCTTTGGGCATGAGAGCCAAGACAAATAACACAGAGATAAAGAAGAAAACTCAATACAAAGTAGGATCGAATACAGTGAGTGGTGTATGGAGCATGAGGCCAAAGGAAGCAGGCAGGACATGTGGCAAGAGGAGGCAGAGTATGACCTGGCCTTTGAGGGAAGGGGCAGGAAAATAGGCATAGAAAAGAATGTCATTCTGCTTAATGTTCTAATTATCTAAACCAGTGGGTCTTCAACTTGAACATGCATCAGAATCACCTGGAGAACTTGTTCAAGCAGTGAGTGTTGGGGTGGGGGGAATTTCTCCCCTTTTCCCCCTTAGTTCTTCTGGCTGGTTTATAATCAAATTGACGTGAGACAGATTAACAGAAAAAATAATCAAACTTAATGATATACGTATGTATGGGGGTTCTGTAAGAATATGGGACCCAAGGACAAATTGGGTGGTTGAGGCTTATATGTCACCTTGAGCTAAGGTGAAGGGACAGGGGATAGCGGTTCAGGAATTCAAAGGGCATGAAGGCAATTCACTCAGAGATGGAAAAGCAAGTATTTGGTAAATAAACCCTTGCCAGCCCATCTTTAACAATGACACAGAGAGGAGTTTCATCAAGCAGATCTTGCTAGGTTCCTCCGTCTATCACACACCTTTTTTTAATGTATCTTTATTGATTTCAGAGAGGGGAAAGGAGAGGGAGAGGGAGAGAGATAGAAACATCAATGATGAGAGAGTCATTGATCGGCTGCCTCCTGCAGGCCTTTGACTGGGGATCCAGCCTGCAACCCAGGCATGTGCCCTGACTGGGAATCAAACCTCGATCTCCGGGATCCTAGGTCTATGCTCAATCGCTGAGCCACGCCCAGCTGGGCTATCACACACTCTTTCATATTAAACTATAGTTATCTATGATGATATCTCTCTTTCTGGGGGAGGTTCTCTATCAAAATTCTTTTAGGCAATTAAGGGGAAGGTCAAAGGTTTTTCCCGAGTCTTTTATTTCTTAAAAATAACCAGCTTAGTGTAATCAATATCCCAAAGAGGCATATTTTGGAGTGGCAAACTCTGCCCCCCTTCAACAGATTTCTGGGCTCCAACCCCAGATGTTCTGATGTGGTAGATCTAGGCTGGGGCTTGAGAATTTGCATTTCTAGCTCATTCCCAGATGACCTCAATCTCACTGGTGTGGGGACCACACTCTGAGGATCACTGATCTAAAACAATGGTGAGGAAGAGTTTGGAGTTTTATTTTGCAAACCTAGCATATCAGTGTTCTCAGGAAGACCAGAATTAGGCTTGGTCAGGGACAGGAATAAGAAAAGGTCACAAACCAGGACAGTGTTAGGGGAGGAAGGAGCCAAGAGATCCAAATCCCAAACTAACTCAAGAAGCAGAGAGAGGAGAACCAGATGGGCCTACCTTTTGGTTGGCCAGGAAGATGAGGCAGACGCAGAAGGTCTGCTTATGCATCTGCTGCCCAGGAAAGGCCCTGAAACTGGAGATTTCTTCTACTGCCTCGTCACATGTGTCTGAAATGCCAATATTAAGATTCCATTTAAAACAACAACAGAACCTTGAAGCACTTCCCTCTGAACTTGTAACAAAAATCAATCAGAGTAGATAGTTGGGGTCTAAATCTTTGTCCAACCCCAATTCTGCTGTGCACTGGTGGATTCTGCCACCTCCGGCTCACACCTTCACTGTTATGGGCTGAGCTCCTGACTTATGTGAGGGTTTCAGAAACTGAGATCACTCCTGTTTTTACACCTTGCCACCTCCCTTGCCCCACCCCCACGATGGGAGCAGTGATTTACACATTATAGTTTTTTTACATAGTTAACAGTTGTTAAATATTAATAGCAAATACTTGCTGAATTAAACAAATACACAGGGCACTCTTTTTCATAAGACTATCTGATTTTAAACTATTTTGTGCACACATACATGCCCTCCTGTTTCATGCGTAGTGCGAGCTGAACTTGAAGTTGCAACTTGGCTTCTGGGCCCAGCTCTGACACTGAGAAGCTGGGGAGCCTTGGCTTCTCTCAGGTTATTTGATTCCTCATCAGTTACCTGGAGACACCCGCCCAGCTTATCTCACAGGACTGTGCAGAAGAAGACCAAATGAGATGGATGAAAAGTGCTTTTAAACTCTTAGGAATGCTACGGATACAAGGGCCCTCTTTAGATGTGACTTCGCTCCATTGTTCCGTTTTGTGTGAATTCTTGGCTGTTTAACTTTGATTTAGTCATCGGATGACAAATGCATAAGACAGAGGTACTCTTGCCCTGTCCTTGAGAAAGGAAATCAGCTCACTTTGAAGCTCCTCAGGGAAACAGTCTGTACCAGAATTGGGATCAGGGCACAGATCCCTTGATATCCGATGATAAAATTAATAGATTCACATCAAAGGGGGAGCAGAGGTTGTGCAACGTGGAGATCATTATCAAACAGTTACTTGCTATGAGGATCCTTTCAGAATGAGGCAAATTATTATTAACTCTTAAGAGATTCACAGTGCCATTCTAGCTAAACCTTATCTTCCTTATTATAAATATGCAGCTGATTTCCAGGCCAAAGTACAGGACCTTATATTTATCACTGCATAATTTTATTAAAATTTTCCCTTTGGGAAATATAAACAAATATGGGCTCAGCGTAAGCACAACTAAATTTAATGGTGAGAGTCTGGGGACAGGAGCAGGCTGAAGCAAGAGCCCAGAAGAATGTCCCTGGAGCTCTATCTCCAGGTGGTCCTGGTGCAGATGTTTTTGCATGGATGCTCTTAGGTGTTCATAGTGTCCTATGCTTTGCAGAAACCCATGTGCACTACCTGCTGTATAATCCTGTTTCCCATCCAAGAATCCCAGAAGGAAATGGGGTTAGGGTTTCCATGCAGGTCCTATGATAGTTTCTTCCTTTACATTCAATGCTTACAAACCCTGAACTTAATCATCTGAGCTGACATCCAACTCAGCCTGTTTTGAGTCTATTGGCAACTCCCCCTTTCTCCAAGGTCCTCTGAAGTTATGGCTGGGTCGATGCATCTTGTTCATGGATTCTCTCATTCCTCCAGGATGCAGCCTACCTAGGCTGGGAGGCTCAGGCACTTGGACCAACTATTATTTTCAGACATACTCTTCTCTCGTTGCTGACCACCCAGCCTGACCCAGGTTTGTTCGGCCCTTTGCAGTCTGAAGCTTGCAGTCTGATGGAGAAAACTGAAGCACATGAAGAAGAAGCTAGGGGTCTGTTTGTTCAATGTCATTGCCAACACATCATTCTTAGTTTCAGACAGTTTATGGAAATAATTTTGCAGTATCCCTCCCTGATACTTGTTTTCTGCAAGAAAAACAGAATTATGTCAGACTCTCAGAAAGCCTGTGAGGTTGATGAAGGTGGTCTTGAGCCTCCCTTTATCTCCTATAACAGCTCCCACTTCTCCTCACTGCTGCCACCCCTTCTGGTATCCAGTCTCTGTGGGTTTTCTATCTCACCTTTGGGGATCCTGCCTGGTGCACCTTGAAGCTAAAAATAGGACTAGAGCAAGAGTAGAAAACATGTCTTCTTTATCATTATAATGTCCAGGAAATAAGTTGGCAGGGGGTCAACACTGACAGGGTAAAAAATCTGATTGTTTACCCATCTCTTTTTCTGAGGTCAGATCAAGATGAGGGTCTGACCCCTCTCCCCTCCCCACTGCTGGGCCCTGCTGAGCACTGAAATTGGACAAAGCTGAATGACTGACAATTGACAACTGGTTAACTACCACTAGAAGACATAGGGCTCTGAGGTGGACTGGGATGGGTGAGGACCATGGAAGGAACAAAGCAATTAAAAATGACTCAGAGGTTGTGGGAAAGGAGATAGGGAGAAACAGGGAGGATTCCAGGACCAGAAGTTCTGGGGGTGGCCACCTGGGGCACCCATGGGTCTGGAAAAATGACCCTGAATTGACTGAACATCCTGGAAGGTCAGGTTGAATCAGAATGAATAATTTACTCCCTAAATTTCTCTGTCCTGGGTTTGCTGTGTGTGTTGTAATAAGACACTGAAATGAGTAGTGAAGGACTGCTCATACACAGTTCTTCTGGGATCCTGAAAAACTTGGCTGGCTCAGAGCAGGGCTTCCTGGCGATGTCATCCCCACTCCCATCGCCCCACCCTGGCCCTGATAAGGGGCACTGAGCTCAAGCTCGAGCTCTGAGTACCACCTGGGCTGCATTCTTTCTCTGATGGGCTGTCAACTCATTCTTACTAAGGTGCCAACCGATTAGTAAAGTGTTATCTGTGAGCCCTAATTGCATTCCACAATATTAAGTCCACAAATATGTATTAACTATGTGCCATGCACATGGCACTGTGATGGGTACTGAGGTTAGAACACTGATCCAAACAGTACCTGCCCTAATGTGTCTCACATTTTAGTGGAGAAGTCAAACATTGAGCAATTGATCATAGAAACTGTAAGAAGAAGATGCACATAAAAGAGAGCCCTGTGCACTTAGCCTACATGGGAACTTATGCAAGCCTGGAAGGGCCAGGAAGACTTCCTTCAGGAAGTGACATTCATTTAAGCTCTGAAAATGAGTAGGACTGGGTAAGTGCAGAGAGGAGAGGACATAGAATATTCTAGAAAGAGATGAGCATGTATAGGACTGCCCTGAGGTAGGGAGAAATAGAAAAGCTTCCATGACAGGAGTGCCATGTGTCAGTGGGAGGCTGGAGAGGAGCTAGGTCACAGGGCCTTGCAGACCACTTCAACACTTAAGGATTTTATTCTAAGCAATGGGAAGCCAATTAAAGGCTTTACATGGGAAAGTGAAATAATTAGATTTGCATTTTTAACATGCAAATGGATTTAGTATGGAAAATAGGCTAAAAAGGGTCAAGACAGCATGTGGAGAGTGAGACCAGTTGGGAGTCTCTTATAATAGTACAGATAAGCAACGGTGGCCCAGAGAACTAAGGTGGTGGCAGTGACGATGAAGAGAAATAAATAGATTTGAAGACCATTTAGGAGATTAAATATCTGGAACTGGGGATTAATTGGATATAGTGTAAGGGAGCTGTCCAAAATGGCATGGGGAAATGCCCTTTGCTAAGGTAGGGTGATGGCGGGAGGCAGTAAGAGAAGAGATCAGGGTCATGCTTTGGAAGTGTTGTGCTTGGGGGATATTGGAAAAAAGTGTGGGCTTCATGTGACAATCTGAACCTGCCAACAGGACCCATGGCAAATGCCATCCAGAAATAGGCCTTCAATTATAAACCAGCTCATATAATGAACTTGGCAACCTGGAAATACCGAGGTGTGTGTCTGCAGGCAAAAGAAAAAAGTTACAAAATGACTTTTTAAAACTGTATCAAAGCAAAGCCCCAGCATACTGCTTAAATATCCATTTTGCAGTGAGTCTTCTTTTTTTTTTTTTGAGGTAAAATTCACATAAGATTCACCATTTTAACCATTTAAAAGTGTACAATACTATGGTTTCCACTATGTCCACAATGTTGGGCAACCATCACCACTACGTAATTCCAGAGCACTTCATCACCCCTAAAAGAAACCCTGCACCCACTAAGCAGTCACTCCCTGTTTCCTCTTCCCCTGTGTTTAGTTGCATGCTTCATAATTTTGCTGTTGTTGAAAATCAGGCATTTTGCATGTTATAATGCCCCAATTCTGGAAGTCAGACTCTCCTTCCTCCGGGTTTGTTGTTGATGCTTGTGGTTACTGTTTAGTAAGTTTTTTGAACTAATTTTTAAAATATATATTTAAAAATATGTTATTGATTTTTCTTTTTTAGAGAGGGGAAGGGAGAGGGAGAGACATTAATGTGTGAGAGAAATATCAATCAGCTGCCTCCTGCACGCACCCCAACCAGGGATCAAGCCCGAAACCCGTGCATGTGCCTTGACTGGGAATGGAACCAGTGACCTTTCAGTGCACAGAACGATGCTCAACCAACTGAGCCATACCATCCAGGGCTGAACTAATTTTTAAAATCTGCATTCTTTGTCATGTGTGCCCACTGAAGTGTCTGTTTGATTAACTTAATAGTCAGCTAGTGACTCTACAGAGATTTCCTGCAATGCCTGGAACCCAAATCATAAACATATTCAAGTCTTTGCAGATGGTGTTTGTGTGGCATGCCTTCAACACCCAGCTGGGCAGTTTATACTCTGCATTAGCCCTCGCTTCCTGCTTGTGCAGCCTGAAGGTCAGCCAGAGGTGAAAGTTTACAGCCTCTCTGGTCTTTTCTGAGCATATACCCTGCCCTGGGCATGTGGGTAGTCTTCTAGATTCCCAGGAATATGTGGGAGCTTTTCAAAATCCTTATTCCAAAAGCTTCTCACTACCCATCCTTTCCTCTTAAGATTTTTGGTATGTGCATTGTGTGCTCCACCTATTATCGTTTGTTCTGGCAGCAGTGGCTAATATATTTGCCTTTAAATGTTTCTGAAAAATGCCCCCTCTCCCCCAAGGAGCTGTCTCTCCACTCTGTGAGAGACAATAGCAAAATAGAAGCAAGCTCTTGGTGCCAGTTTGGGGAGACACCAGACAGGTCAAGCCAAATAACCACAGGTCTTTGAGAACAAGGTCTGCTCTACTTCCTGCAGCACCAGGAACCCACACCAGCAATGCAGGTTCCATTTTCAAGACTGCTGCTGATTCAGGGAGGTGAGACCAGGGCCAGAATAAGTGAAAATGCCAAAAAGATTTCCTACAGCTGTTTCTTTCTTGATTAAGTACTCATCTGGTTGCTGTAAACCTTTGACTAGTTTCCAGAGTTCCAATAAAATTGATTTTGCCAGTTTTTTCACTGTTTTTGTAGAGGGTTTGTCTCTTGGAGTTCCCTACTCCACTGTTTTGCAGGCATCTGAACAGTGTGTCTTTGCCTAAAAGAATTACAGGCTTTGAGTGTTGGCAGAGTTTGTGATGGTAGATGGGAAACACAGAGACAGAGAAGCTAAATATTGTCATTAGCTTCTTCCAGACTAGCAATGTCCACATGGTGTGACTGGAGGACAGGAGAGTAGGTCCATTGAGAACAGACGCGATGCGTGGGGCAAAGAAGATGAAGAGAGAGGGCCGAACTTTGATGAACTATTTCCCTTCCTTCTCCCTTACATTATCTACCTTAGTAAATAACAATGGGTAAGTACGCCATGGCTTACTCTGCTGGGCACTGTTTAGGAGTCAAAAGAGAGAGAAAACTACGTCTGTGCCCATAGGAAATGCTTGATTTTGCTGATGAGATGACATTTGTTTGCCATAAACAGCTCTGGAATTCATGCAGGAGAGGTGGACATATGTTGCTGTATCATGATTCAACATTAGGATTTGTAGCGACTACTTGAAGTTGTGTAAGGACTAGACCTATACTGTCCAACATGGGAACTACTAGCTACATGGGGGCTTTTAAAATTTAAAGTTAGATGAGTTAAAATGAGATAAAATGGAAAGTTCAGTTTTTTAGTCACAACAGCCACATTGCAAGTGTTCAATTGCTGCTTGTGGCTAATGGCTCCTGTATTGGACAGTAAGTCCTGCCTTTGCAGAAAGTTCTATTGGATGGTGCTCAGGTTGGATATGGAAAACCAACTCAGAATGCAATTTATTTTTTTTGAGAAACTTAAAACTCTTTGAACAAAATTATATATTGCAGCCAGGAACTATAAAAGGCTAGAATTAAATGTATGCTCTGCTAGGTCAAGATGATGTCTTTACTGTGACATGGACTCATTGGAGGTCTTCCTCAAATTTTCATGAGAGATGGAGGTGTCACCTGGAAAGAACCCATCTGAGAGTAAAGGCTATCAAAGGGAAGGGGCGATTCTGGGTTTTCCAAGAGTCTGTCCCTCAGATTTTTCATCCTAAGTCTCATAAATTCCCAATGCTCCTCCATGGCCAGGCTGTCATGATGCTGCCACAGAAGTAACAAGAACATTTACCTGGGTACCATTAACAAGAGAGTCTTGCCTCTCCTCTTCCCAATCTGATATCATATAACGTGGTCTGAGTAGATGGGATTAATAGCCCATCTGTGGTATATTGTTTTCAGTCCACATAAAGGTCTCTGATAGGAATCTTGCCTTGAGGGATATTTGCTGTTTCTTACCTGTGTTTCTTGGCCAAAGGGGCTTTGGGCCTTGGTGGGAGGCCTTGACACTTCCCACTGGGCAAAATTATCAACATACCTCTTCTTATTTTTGCGTATGAGGAAACTGGGGCCCAAGAAAGGGGATAAATCAAATGTGTAAAGAAAAGAAAATAAGATACTTGTGACTAAACATCAAGTCTGTTTCCAAGGTTCTTGGCAGCTGGATCTAAGAGGGAAACATGATGAGCTATATAGCCATCATTTTTTAAAAACTTAAAACACCTACTAGTTCTTCAGGTGTATGTCCTCCTAGTGCCAACCCCACAGTCTCTACTTTATTTCTTTTCCTTCATAGCAAATTTCATTGTTTTTTAAAAAAATAAAGTTTCCTGATATAAAAATAATAAATGCTGATTTTGAAACATAGAGGAAAACAAAAATTTAAGAGGTTCTCCTATAACTTTTGATAGTTTTATGATTTTCTTTCCTGCCTTTCTCTTTGCATATAATATATTATACATAGCACATTTATAAATCTTATTTTTATAGCCTGTTTTGTTTTTACTTGGTCCATTATTAATATTATTCCATATCATGGAAAAAATTTTTAAAAATATCATGTTTGTTGGCTGGAACATATTCTGATCATGAAGACATACAATAATTTACTTAACAACTTCCCTATTGTTTGGTACTTATATTGTTGTCAACATCTATTATAGATAAAGCTGCAATTATCATCCTTGTGCCTAAATCTTTGTCAGTATCTCTGATTATTATTTCCTTTGGGTAGATCTCCGGAAGTGAAAAATCTAGGTCAAAGCTCAGCAATGTTTGAAGGCTTTTGAGTCATACACAGGCAAAACTTCTTGGAAGAACTGTCTATATTTGATGCTTCTATTTCTTACACTCAAGTGGTTTTAATTCAGAATAATCAATATGCTACTGTGGGATATCTTGGTGCAGCCTCCCCTGGGCTCGGACAGTACTTATTGGGTGTGAGCTACCCATCAAACCATGGGTCACTTTTATAAGTATAAGCCACTGTTGGTGACAAGGAGATAAACTCCAGGTAAACACCGAGATTAGAAGAAAAATTCAAATATATTCCCATAACAGTGGGATGTCTGCATGAGAGGATATTTTAACATGCCAGGAGATGAATAAAAATGACTTGGAAAAATTAAATGAGGTAAGGCAGAAGAGTCAGGTCTTAGTAAGTTTAAGTTTCTAAACAGAGCAAGAGATGAGAGAAAGTGGAATAGTGATGCTCAAACCTTTTTATGATCATGACCAATAATTTAAAAAATCATTTAATGGTGTGATCTATGGTGCATGTGCACACCACTCCCACCCCGCAATCCCCACGCAAATGTACATATATGCCTGTAATGAAAATTCATCAAGTGATACTCTTATCATGTACAAGGGACTTTGATATTTTATATTTTATTCTATTCAAGTATTTCAAAAATGCTGGCAAGATCTGCTAAATTGATTTCATAGCCCATAATGGGTTATGACCTATAGTTTGAAAAACATATGACTGGGTGAGGTAAGGACAGGGCAGGGAACATGTAGTTAGAATTTCAGTTAGGTCTTATTACAGGTTGAAAGAAGAGAATGTTGGGATGGTCCAAACCAGCCAAGAAACTTCTGGGAAGTTAGCAGGCTGAGAGGTTGGCTCTGTTTGTGGGAATCAAGTGAGAGTTAAGATCTGCCCAAACCACTCCTGACACCTAATACGTACCTGGATTGACTTGCCTTGAAAGTGCTGCAGAATTCACCCTGGCCAGGTAGCTCAGCTGGTTAGAGAATCATCCCAATACACCAAGGTTGCAGGTTGGATCTCCAGTCAGGGCACATACAAGAAGCAACAAATGAGTTCGTAAGTAAGTGGAACAACAAATCTCCCTCCC